GATTCCAAATTCGTCTCGTTCAGCATGACGCGGCTGGTTGAAGGTCAACCAGCTCCGGGCTTCGCATTGCGCGACGCGAGACGTGCGGTTCTCTTCGCGCCCTCGAGCCCCCCCCCCCGTGGAAGGGACGAGATCCCGGGTCATCAGACTTCGAGCTCAGCTGAGCTGTGCGCAACGCGCGGTTATCTTGACGCCCTCGAGCCACCCCCACAGAGAGAAGGGTAGCTGTCTGGCCCAGACCGCGAAATGCGACCACCTTCGCGCCCCAGTGGGTGACCTAGGACACCCACTGGCCATCGCTCGGACGTCCATTCCCTGTGTTTTTTTCAGTTTCGTGTGTGTTTTTTCGCCAAATGGTCGAGGATGCTCCTCGATGGTCCTCGCCGAGAGAAAAATACACACGTCCGAGCGATGCCAAGCCGAAGGCCAAGACGGTGCCAACTCTACACCCACACCGATACTGGCCAAGCCCATCCTGCGCCCAAGATCGGTGCACACGCCCTTCCAGGATGGCAAATCATGTGCGTGCTCCAGTCCTGCGCCTGGGCCTGACACGGCAACTGGGCCAGTGTAGATGTAACAAAAGTTGGCGCCCTCCCGAAAAGTGCAGTGAGACCAAAGCCTTCCAGTAGTACCTAGAAACTACATGCATAACTTCAGAGAGAGGTCGTCTCAATCTTGGTGCAGAGAACCCAATGCTTTGTCTCCAGGAATAGAACCTTCTGCTCGGAAGTTTTGGGCTCGCAGGGCAGTCCAGTCTTGTCCCTGATCTGGGATAGCATGGTCTGCCCTGCAGCACTGGGCCGAACGTGCGCTGCGAGGCGCTTCCCCACACCTCCCAGCAAGCGGCTCCGCCCAGCGCAGGTAGTGCACATGCGCGGCCGACTTGTTGCCCAAGTCGTCGAAAATCTGCGCCACGTTCTGTGGGCGGATGTGTAAGGAGGGGGAGGACGAGGAGGAGGGGGAGGAGGAGGAGGAGGAGGAGGAGGAGGAGGAGGAGGAGGAGGAGGAGGCGGATTAACAGCAGGGACAAGACGGGGAGGAGGTGGACGGGATGGGGGGGCCATGATGAAGGGGTGGGTGGGTGGGTGGGGGGAAGCGCATCGTGGCACGAGGCATCAACGCGCGCCAACGAGGGGGGGCCAGGGAGTGTCTTGAAAGAAAGCCAGGGGCTATGACACCTGGGAGATCTCCTGGCCACCGCCTTGAGACTCCCCCCCCGTCCTGATCCCACCTCGGACGCCCCCGACCCTCCATCCTCATGCTCCTCTCCCTCCTCCGCGGTCAACTCTCGCCCGAAGCTCCTCCCGTTGTGAGCGCGCGCTGGTGTGGGCAAGGCGCCCGTCTCGCCGTGGGTATCATCGAACAGCGGCCCATGCCCACGAGACGACATCTTCGAAGAGGAGGTCAGAGAGAGTGTCGGAACAATTAAGCAACACTCACGCGTAACTATGGTTTGAACTCCCCACCCTTCCCGCAAATGCAATGTTGGCTTCGGATCTTCCGATATGAGTGTCCGAGCGGGAGTGTGTAAACGTGCCAACTTTGAATTGCGGAGAGGGGGCATGTTGCTTATTCGCTTCCCTCAACCGGTAAGAGGAGGAGAGGAAGAGAAATATGATGAGAAGAACACGTCAAGAATACCCGGACCTCTGACGACTCGGAAATCGCACCGCACGTTTGTTCGCAATTTTGGCGGCGTCTCGAGGCTGGTTTTCTGGCCTCGGACGAGAAGCCAGCTCCAGGGAAGGGTCGAGATCTCTCGGGGCTAGCGGCTGCAAGGCATTGGGGCGTCGGAGGTCTGCGAAACACAAGGTCGCATTGCGAGAAAGTTCGGAGCGCATCTTCGAGCCCGCAACGACCTTCTGAAGCATTCGTGGGCCTACGATTTTCCGAATATCAATCAGGCGGCGGTTTGGAGCGCAAACTGCAACTCCCGTCATCGGCCAGGAAGCGTCGGCTCGCACAACTCCTGGGCCAACTGCAGTCCAGGCTATGACTGAGAGAAGGGCCAGGAGGGGGGATGATGCATGTTTTTGTCGGACGATTTTGGTAGTTTCTGGACCTTCTAGGGGTCCCCGTCGCCACGGCTGAATCCGCCTCGCAATCCCGGTCGCAACGCCGCGGAAATGTGGATATATTTCCTGCCAGAACCTGGAGGAAACGCTGGGCCAGCCCTTCGCGTACAGAACCGTGCACCTGCAGGGGACCGAGAAGCTGAGCCAACTTCAGAAGCTGGCCCAGCTTCTTCCTCCAGAAGCTGACCCAGCAACCGCTGGGTCAGCCTTTTGACCAGGAGGCTGAGCTCTGGGCCTCGCTCTATGGGGGAGGATACACTGGGGGGGGGAGTAAGGTGCACTTTTCGGGCCCTGCAGGCCTCCTTGCGGGCCCTAAAGGGCTCCTTTTCTGCAGCCCTCGCTGCCCCACTATATCGACCCCCCCTTTTACGCGACGCTCAAGAGCTTCCTGCTCAGACGGGGCCGGGTCAAAGCGAAGACTC